ACACTAGAACGTGTTGGCACACACATATGTATGACAATAAGACACACACAAACACACTAGAACGTGTTGGCACACACATATGTATGACAATAAGACACACACAAACACACTAGAACGTGTTGGCACACACATATGTATGACAATAAGACACACTTACACACTAGAACGTGTTGGCACACACATGTGTATGACAATAAGACACACATACACACTAGAATACGAAGAACGTGTAGTGTAGGCATACATACGACCCACGTACAACAATGAAACACACACAAACAACCATGGATTTCGCACAACAACAAAATTTCCTTACATCTCGCGGTGACTCTTCACACTTGATCCGTTTCCTGCCAGAGCTGCCCTCCTCCATGTCGCCATCGACCTCACTGGTAAGTTGTCGCTTGCCAGGATCCCCGGCGGGAGGCGGTGGTGCCACCTTGGGTGAGGCAGCCATCTTGGATGTGGCGTTTTTCCGACCGGCATCCTTTGACGAAGTCTTCCCGGCAGCTTTCTCCGCAAGTTTCCTGGCCACCAGAGCAAAGTCGTTGCTGTCAAGGTCACTGTCATACGAGTCGTACGCCCCTGGTGCAGAAGTAGAAGCGGCCTTGACCTCTGAACCTGCGCCTGCTACCTCTGGTGCTCCGGCCACCAGCTCCGACAAGAGCAACTTTTGGTCAGGAGTTGCGGAACTCAGTCCGGAACTGGACATTGGGGTACCTTTGCGGGGAGACTTTTTGCTTGACCATGCTTCAGAGGGCAGGGCAGGAGATGAGTTGGCGTCTGCTGAGGTTCTTGATTTGCGACTACGAATAATTTCCTTCGTGTCGGCAGATGAGGCAGAATCATAATCCATCTCAACACTGGCCTTTGCCTTGACTTTTGGCGGATCTGTTGGTCGTGAACTACGTTTGAAGTCATTTAAAACTTTAGCATCTTCTTTAACAGACGGTGTCAATTTCTGGACTTTTCTGGGAACTTCCGGAGCTAGGGGGGAAACAGCAGCTGTTTCCTGGTCCTGTTTCTCATCGCGTGGAGGAGAACGTAACATGCTCAGACCACCAAACTTGGGAAGTGGGCATTCTTCATCGTCGCTGTCATCATCCTCTCCTCCTCTCTTCCTCTTCTTCTTTTTCTTGTTTTTGAAATTATTTCTCCTGAAGGAATCTTGTTGCGAGTCGCTAGCGTCAAACTGCGACAGCTCACGCCAAGTGCTGCCATTCAGCTGTTCTTTATTGCCCACACTTTCAGATTCTAAGTCCATAAAAGACGTTTCATCTTTTGAACCAAGGACGGGACTACTAGCAGCCAAACTTTCTTCTAGTTCTCTACTTTCACGTTCTCTATTTCCAAACACAGGCTTCTCTTTCAGCTCAGCAGAGGAGTCACTCACACTTTTGTTTGTTTTTTTGTCGCTATTTCTCGACTTGTTCAACTTGCCAGGCGTCGTCGACTTGTGGGGAGACAAAGACGCTGGTGACATCTGCTCGGAGTCACTGTCAACGTCGCTATCGAACCTGTTGGACGTTTGTTGCTGGGAGCTGTTTTGTTTTGGAGAGTTTTTGTTGATGGGAACGATTTCTAAATCTTCTTCCTTGGGAACATATTTCTGTCGCACTGACCCGTTGACCAATGAGTCGTCGCCGCGGGCTGCCTGACTCGGAGCAAGCTTGGGCAAAACTTGCACTGGTTTCTGCCCTTGTTTTTTCGAGGGTGGGAACTGACCTTTCATCTTTTTAACAATCTCTGAATCTGGCGTGTCAATTTCCCAGGTGAGCGAGGCAGGTGGTGAGCGGTGTGGAAGTTCCGTGACGCTGTCCTTGAACACTTTGGCCGTGTGGCACAGTTTGGACGGATCGTGTTTCACAATCTGAAATTGAACAAAATTAAAATTTCATACAATTTTCAAAACATAGACAGCAATTGGCAAAACAAATAAAAAGGTTTTCAGTTGGTTTCTTCAACGTCTTCACACATTATCTGACAGTTGGAAAAAAAACAAACAAAAAGGTTTTCAGTTGGTTTCTTCAACGTTTTCACACATTATCTGACAGTTGGAAAACAAACAAACAACCGAAAACAAATAAAAAGGTACGTTCTGTGACGTTCAAAGTGAATTCTGATAACGAACTTAATCAAAACTAGCTTGACAAGATGAATGAGAGAGATGACGAGTTGAACAATCTATATCCAAAGTTCAGACAATGAAGGAGGGGAGACAATGAAGGAGGGGAGACAATGACTTCATTCAAACTGGTTTAACAAGATGAACGTTACATCCTATTTGACATTTGTCACGGTAAAGTAGTTCCAAAGTGGAAAACTAGGAGAGCCACAGGACAGAGAGTTTAAGGTTTCCTAAAACAGAACTTGATCCCTTGAGAGTTCTCAGGTGGAGTACCTCTGTACAACAGGTGGAGTACCTCTGTACAACAGGTGGAGTACCTCTGTACAACAGGTGGAGAACCTCTGTACAACAGGTGGAGAACCTCTGTACAACAGGTGGAGAACCCATCTGTACAACAAACGCTCCATTCATAAAGTCATGGACAATCAAAATCTTGTCAGTAATAAATTGATGCATGCCACACAAATTCGAGTTTAGTTTTAGTAAGAATCTTAAGGCACTTGCAACACAACAAGATCACAGGAGCGCTATGGAATAGAGGAGCTACAAGAGAGTAACAAATACAAAAAAGAAGAAGGAGAGAGAAGGACGACAGATGTTGCACAGGATAGAAGGAGCAAACCACACGGGAGCACTCGCCAACCACCCACCACGACAGTCTAGGACAGACTCAGCCTCTTGCTTACCTTTAACATGGACGACTTCTTCAGCTTCAGCGTGGGCAACACTCGCCCATACTTCCCCACAACCCAGTCCTGTCAACGATTCAAGTAGAGAGAACACAACACGGTTACAACATGTTACTTTTTACAGTTTCAGTAAGTGTTTTACGGCACTTGCAACACAATAAGGTCACATAAGTGGCAAAGATTAGGTGTTACAAGAGAGTAACAAACACAAAAATAGAAGAAGCAAACCACACCAGAGCACCCGCCAACTACCCACGGGTTAACATTTGCCAAGCATCAATTCAGACAAAAGGTACCAGTACCAGGATGGAAATTCTTAGTACAGCATACTCACTAGTACCCATTCCAAATAAAACAAATGAAAACAAAAATATCTCATTATTTTTCATCCCAAAAATTGCCTGTGGAAAAAAATTCTCCATGGTCAAGGTCAGAATGGACTCTGGTCAGCTTCTCCCGCCCCAGTACAAAGAAAGGAACAGCAAACTTTGGTGTTATACAAACATTCCGTCAAATAAACGCAAACATTCCGTCAAATAGACACAAACATTCCGTCAAATAGACACAAACATTCCGTCAAATAAACACAAACATTCCGTCAAATAGACACAAACATTCCGTCAAATAAACACAAACATTCCGTCAAATAAACACAAACATTCCGTCAAATAAACACAAACATTCCGTCAAATAGACACAAACATTCCGTCAAATAGACACAAACATTCCGTCAAATAGACACAAACATTCCGTCAAATAAACACAAACATTCCGTCAAATAGACACAAACATTCCGTCAAATAGACACAAACATTCCGTCAAATAGACACAAACATTCCGTCAAATAAACACAAACATTCCGTCAAATAAACACAAACATGTCAAATAAACACAAACAAACAACTTAAGGGAAGACCCGGGTCGGTGATCCCAGACAATATCCATACAATTTTTCAAACTATCCAACTTTTGTTTTTTGCGGAAAAACATCCTTTGACATCTGTTCTATTGGGTCACAATGACGAAACTGTTGAAAAAACACCCTAAATGACCTAAAAGGGCGTTTGAAAAGTGCAAATTGCTCTAAAAATCCTTTGAAAAATCCCTGTTTTTTCTGTTTTTCTCAAAATCTACTTTTTGACATATGTGACCTTCTGGGTGCAAGGAGTTTTCAAAGCCTACTGAAGCTAGAAGCTTCAAATTTGGTGTACAGGTGCTTTAAGATCGATTCTGGGGATCTATGAAAGAGAATTGGGAAATAAATATTGGTTACTTGTGGAAATATTCAAATTTTTGGTAATATGTACCATAAAATTTCGTCAACTGACTCTAGGGGGTCCACTGACTTTGGGCTCACTTTTTTAGTTTTAAAGATAGGTCAAAATCCTCACATGGATCCCCAGTTTATATAAGTTTGTACTTGTGTGCCAAATTTCAGGCTGATAATTCAATATTTACTATGAAATTCTTCTGCACTAAGAAACTAGTTTGAAAATCCAAGATGGCTGCCACAGAGACCCATTTTTCTGAAAAATTCAACAAATTCACCCCTAGTACATCCTATTTACCTATGAACCTCTTGCACAATTACATGAAAGTGAATAAAAGTCATTCGTTTAGAACATTTTTCTGGGAGTGTATGTCACCCCTTAACAGTAATAGGTTCTGCGGCACTGGACTAAACAAACACAACAAATTGGTCAAAAAGTAACATTGCCACATTTTCACTTAGCAAGGTGAACTTGTTATCATAAATATTATATCTTCCAATTTAGACTTCAGATTCAAAGAAGTCAGTGCTCCCTCCCCCCCCCCCCCCTCCCTTACAAAAAATGGGGCAGAATTCCTTTTGATGTATACCACAGAGCAACATCTTCTATCCCACAAAAACATCTAAAAAGTGCGGAGAAACTAGAAGCAGGGTTCCTGCCATAAACTCCCCACCAAATTCCAGGAGAAACTTTTAAAATTCAAGGAGATTTGGTCAAGAAATTCATGCCGAAAGCCTATTTCCGATAGGCCTACACTTGTCCAAAAGGAATCATCGTTTCGATATTCCTACAAAAACTTTGTCCATATTCCATCTGGCGAAATTCAAGGAGTTATCAAGGGGGTTCCTCAAATTCAAGGAGTTTTCAAGAAGGTTTTAAGGAATTTTCAAGGACTCCTTGAATTCAAGGAAGTCGCAGGAACCCTGTAGAAGTCTACCTTCTTCCCAGGAATCGGGGTCCCCGGCACGGCCGGACCTTGTAGTTTGTCTATCTGCGGCGGCTGCCACGTTCCCGGCGACAGTGTGGGTGCCGGCGGCTCTGGCTCAGGTACTTCCTGTCTCTCCTTGACCAGTCTGAAAAACACACGGTGGAGGATCTCACTATACAACAGCGGCCATTGTTCATTACGACACAACCTAATTACAGTCAAAATTGTCCACGACAGCCACCTGTGGTCCAGGTGAAAAGTGGTTGTCTTAGACAGGTGGGTGTCTTGGACAATATCATTAGATTTTGTTTTAGTTAAGGTTTTACGTCGCTCGCAACTGCATAAGGTCATATGAGCGCCAAGGGGTGGATGTCAACAGAGAAGTCCTTACAGGGAATCAGGCTTATTCGGCTCACCTCTCTAGCCTCAACAGCACAAAGTCTGCCTCGACTATCAAGGCACCCCGGAAATAGCAGTTCACAAGAGAGTGACAAGCTTACAAAAGAAGTAGAGGAAATGACGATAGTAAGGATGAGGAAAGAAAAAGCAGCAGTTCCCCCTATGTTGTTCCGACAGAGCATGACATTGATGAATCAGCCCATTTACAATTCTACTGTGCATAAGAACATGTTAATGTCCCCCCTTTGGGAATGGCCAAAAGACACTTCAGTCAGTAGCACTGCCCTTGGGGGCAGGGTTGGGTTGGTTAATTTTTTTTATTTTAATCAACTTGATTTTAAAAATAAAAATCAGTGATTTAAATCACTTTTCAAAAAAATGTATTCAGTTTTTACATATATTTAAACATTCAGAATTCCTTTCCTTGGTTTTATTAAAAATATAAGGTTTAGTAGACTAATATAATCATGCTTAAAAGTCTGCTTTCCCCCCAGTCACTGTAAAATAATATAGTTCTCAATTTACTTTTTTTCATAATTGAAAACCAGGGTTGGGTTGATTTAAATAAATTTAAATCAACTTGATTTTAAAAATAAAACTCAGTGATTTAAAACCGTAGATCTATTCAATTTACTCTTTTTTCATAATTGAAATTAGCATTTTCTTTTTCTTTTTAGACAAACACAAGCGTGCGCACACACATACACACTGTAATAAAAATGCAAGTTTATCTACACATAATTACCCTCCCCCCCCCCCTTCCTTTTAGACTGACATTTTCTTCATTTTTTGTCTGTAGCCATAATTCACTGATATAGATCTAGCAGATTAAGGCTTTCTAAAATTGCAGTTGCTTAAATTAATCATTAGTTAAAATAAAGACAATGCATTTTGCACTAAAAGAACTTACTTTTAGCCACCAAAAATCCCAAACTGTGTCGACATTTAAAAAAAAAAAAAAAAATTTTTTTAAATCTGATTTAAATTTTAAAAATCTTGATTTCAATAAAAAAAATCGATTTTTTAAATTTTTATTTAAAAAATCCAAAAAAATCACCAACCCTGCTTTGGGGGGGGTAAGATATCATTGTTGGAATGTCAAAAAAAAAACATGCTGGGGGGGGGGGGGGGGAGTCAACTGCAGGTGTGACTTTATCGACAACGAGACCAGGGATATCTTCCGTCATGACTCATGGCCAGCTATACAAATGCACCAACAATGTCTCTTCGGTCAATTATTGTAACTTCAGATTTGAAAAAGAATTCTAACCTTTACAAAAATATATTCGGAGTTAAGTCGGGTGTATACCTGTTCAAGAAACTTTCTTTAGCGTACTGCAATTTCAAGACGGATCCTTTCCATTTGGCATTCTGGTACGCTGCGAAGCCTGAAAGGGAAGTAAGGGAGGAGGGAACAATTACTCTGCACAAAACATTGCAAAAGTCTGCATTCATTCCTAATGCATGCAACTGAAAGGGAAATAGCTGAAGTATGCACATATGCCATGAGTACAACGTAATGGGTACACAAAAATACAGCTATATAGTGGGCCCCAGTCAACCATCGGAACTGATGTCATGTCCCTGTTCTAGCTGAACCCAGATAAGACCAGGATCACGTTTACACACACTGTACGTAATAATGGACAAATACAATCGTTTTTCTTACACAGATCATTCACTACCAAATCATCAGTTATTTCTTCACTCTTTTTTTCCACAGATATTGTTGACTCCTCATCCTCATCCTGATTTTTTTCAGTGGTGGTTTAGTCTCATGGGCGTTGACGGGACATTATTTTTGGTTTATCAACACCTTTTGTCCATTTAAAAATACATTTTTATGTGGGTTTTCGCGAAAAATGTTGACCAAAGGTGCAAGAAATGTAAATTTGCTGTATTCAAGGACATTCAAGCTTTGAAAGTCACTAAACTTTGGCGGCCATTTTCTGGCTACTTTTACCCATGACATCAGGTGACCCCCACCACCCTATACCTCCAGGTGACCCCCACCACCCTATACCTCCAGGTGACCCCCACCACCCTATACCTCCAGGTGACCCCCACCACCCTATACCTCCAGGTGACCCCCACCACCCTGTACCTCCACGTGACCCCCACTACCCTGTACCTCCAGGTGACCCCCACTACCCTGTACCTCCAGGTGACCCCCACCACCCTATACCTCCAGGTGACCCCCACCACCCTATACCTCCAGGTGACCCCCACCACCCTATACCTCCAGGTGACCCCCACCACCCTATACCTCCAGGTGACCCCCACCACCCTATAACTCCAGGTGACCCGCCACTACCCTATACCTCCAGGTGACCCCAACTATC